GATGAAAGAACGTTGGTCATCTGCAAGAACAGAAAGGTCTCTTAATTTTTGAGCTGTCTCCCAAGCCCTCCACTGAGTGACGTTTTAGAAAGAATGGCAAGATTTACGTATGTATAAAGAGAGTACTCTGGGGAGTGAATTTAGGAAAGGGTAGGAGCAGGGAGATTGGTTTGGAGGCAGTTGTAGTCTCCAGGTAATAACTAGATAGTAGCTAGGCATATGGCGGTGATGGCAAACGCCAAATATACAAACAAAGGGATAATGAGAAGGAAAGACTTTCAGAGCTGGACGGCACTCCCTTCTGGAAGCCTGGCTTTGAATTTTCTATTCCTCTGCCTCCATCTTCCGAAAGCATGTGCCAACCACGTCCAACCAGGAAACCACCTTAAACAAACAAACAAACAAACAAACAACCCAGCAGTGTATAGTAGCTCACATCTGTAATCCCGGCATTTGGGGAGTCTACATAGTGAGCTTTAGTTTAGCTAGATGGAACTACAGAGTGAGATCCTGTCTCAAAAGTACCAACCCACCAACTAGCCAACCAGTAAACCAAAACCCCAACAAACCATTCCACAGAACAAAAATCCAAAAGGTCAAAAAATAGACACAGATAACGGTGTTCACAAAGCTCCGAATTTTATATGAAAGCAGGTTAATCTGCTGGACAAGAAGGGCGTTTACATGCGCTCACTGGATAAACGTGGGCTTTACAGAGAAAAGTGTAAGGGGAAGGAGAAGGCGTTGACTTTAAAAAACTAGCAAGATAGGGGTCTGGAGAGATGGCTCAGTGGTTAAGAGCACTACTCTTCCAGAGGACCTGGGTTCAAATCCTAGGACCCACACGGCAGCTCATGTCTGTCACAAGATCTGACAGCCTCACGGAAACATAATACATGCAAACAAAACACCAATGTACATAAAAGTAAATTTAAGAAAACCTAGCAAGAGGACGAAAGACGTGTGACGGTCTGGGAGGTATAAGGAGGAAGGAGGTGGGAGGAGAGGGAGACTGGAAGAAAGAACTAGAAATGGGTTAGGGGAGGGAGTGATTGGACACATTGTGCTACAGGGCTCCAAGGCTTCGGAGGGAGTAACCTTAGTCTGAAAGTCAGGGAGGAAATAAATCCAGATGGCAGGCAGGAAAAGATCACAGGGAGGAGTGAGGACCTCGGAAGCCAAGTTGGGAGGAAGGATGGGGTCAAAGTAGGAAGGAATGAAGGCTGAGCTAAGGTTTTGTGTTTTTTAAAAAAGATTCATTTATTTTATGTATATGAGTACAATTTTTATTTTATGTATATGAGTACAATAGCTGTCTTCAGATATACCCGAAGAGAGCATCGGATCCCATGACAGATGGTTGTGAGCCACCATGTGGTTGTTGGGAATTGAACCCAGGACCTCTGGAAGAGTGGCCAGTGCTCTTAACCACTGAGCCATCTCTCCAGCCCCCTGAGCTAGGGTTTTTCAGGGATGAATTAAAGGCCACCTTGGGGAGTCAGCCGCTAGAGTGGGCCGGGGTGGGGGGACGTGAAAGGACACACAAATAGGTCCCTAGAAGCTCAGAATGAAGGAAAGGAAAGTGTGCGGCTGGAGAAGGAAGTGAGGAAAACGGAGGGTAAGCTCGAAATGACAACCTGGGGAGGGGAATGATGGGCGTGGCAGACTCTCTGACCTAGGTCTTACCCTTCTCCCCACCCTCGGAAAGCTCCTTCGGGTAGAGGAGGAGACACTGACAGGCTCAGGTGCTAAGTCCTGACCAGTGGGTCAGTGGGTCCCGAGACCAGGCATGTGGGGCTGTTGGAGGGCCGTGCCATCGGTGGAGGGCTGGAGCAGTGGAGCGGTAGGTAGCTAGACTGTGTCTGGAAGCAGAAATGCCTAGAAGGATGCAACACGGGTGATTTTACCGTAATGGGTTAGGGCCCCTGAAGATGAGACAGGCCATGGAAGGAGACTAAAGAAAAAGGAGCTGAGAGTGGAGGCGACAGTCGGGCTGGACAAACAGCACGCGCCAAGACCTGCAGGGGAAGGGTGGCGAGGAGCCTTTCCAGGGGTGTCTGCGCGTACAGGCTCTGCAGCGACCCAAGCGCACCTGTACGGAAAGGAAAGGATGGGGCCACCTGGAGTCTGCAGGGCGGACTCAGACCCCAGGGACTTCTGAGAAGCCGTCACCTATTTCCCATCAACGGTTAGAACCAGGCAAATGAATGGGCGTGACCCTGGAGCTCAGGTTTCTTCCTCTTCACCTGGACAAGGAGGGGGTAGGGGCCAAGACTTCCGGTTCAGGTGAGTGTCCTTTCAGTGACGTCAGGTCACTCTCGACTGCCCCTCTGGTCCCGCCCAAGCTCCTGCGCTCCCGCTGCCTGCGGGGGCGCGTCCCCGACGCCCTACATATATATACTCAGGTGCGCCGCACCTGTTCGCCCGCACCTGCCGACGCACCGCCCGCTCCCTGTGCCGCGCACCGCAGCCTGGGGCCGAAGGGCCCGCATACTTTCTGGGGGCCACGCCCTAACGGCCCCTCCACTTCTTTGGGTAGTCTCTGAGCACGCCGGAGGGAACCGCTTGGCCTTCGGGGACCGCTTTTGTCTGGAACCAGTCCTTCGGGCGAAGCCGGTTCCCTCTGCTGGGAGAGTGTCGCTTCACCGGAGGGGACGATTTGTGTTTACCTCGGTTAACAAGACTTGTTGTTACCCGGTCAAAAAAATTTTTTTTTTCTCTTCTGGGTGACTTGAATCTCTATCCAATTTTTCTTGTGTCGCTGCTCCTCAGATTTTTGTTTTACTGTAGGGTCGCCCTCCCGGCGCGTCCCATCCTTTCTGAGACAAGGAAATGGCCAACTCGGGCCTGCAACTGCTGGGCTTTTCAATGGCCATGCTTGGTTGGGTGGGCCTGATAGCGAGCACTGCCATCCCGCAGTGGCAGATGAGCTCCTATGCGGGCGACAACATCATCACAGCCCAGGCCATGTACAAGGGGCTCTGGATGGAGTGCGTCACGCAGAGCACCGGCATGATGAGCTGCAAAATGTACGACTCGGTGCTCGCACTGCCGGGTAAGGCCGCGGGACGGACGGGGCGGACGTGTCCGGGGTCAAGGTGGCAGGGTTGGGTGTGGGGCAGGGCCGAGGCCGCACAGCCCGGCGCCGGGGGTTGCCAGGGAGGAGGAAGTGGACGCCTTGGGTGCAGTCGGTGGGACAGAGAGGGAGCGGGCCTGGGATCTGGCTCTCCCACGTGGGCCCCACGCCCCTCTGTCCAGATTGAACGGGGGAGTCCTGGGCGAAACACCCCTCAACCTCAGGCAGTCAGGGGTCTCTCTCTTCCGCTGTTTCTTTCTCTGGACAAAAGGAGAAGAGGGACGGAGGTGCTCAGGGCCGCAGAATCGTGCCCTCGTTAGACGTGGGACCACACTTGTGGCCTCTAATCTTATCGGCCGATTAGCTGAAGCCACAAACCCTGTGGCCTCGATAGCAAGGCCAAAGCTAGGACACGCGCCGGCTGGTGTGGCCCAAGCGAGAGCCTTAGCGGCCACCTGCACTTCTCTTTCGCCCCCTTTCTCCCTTCCCCCCTACCTGGAGCGGTTTCATCGAAACCTTGGCGCCCCGGGCGGGTTCTGGAGCGCAGGGCGGGGCGGGGCGCGGAAAGGACTTGGTGGCGGAATGGGGGTGGGAACCGTCTGCGCAAGGCCTGCCTTGGACTAGGGGGCCCCAGGCTGCCGACGGAACCTGGCAGGCGGACCATGGTCCAGGGGTTAGTGGGCGCGGTCTGCTGCGCTTAGGCTGGCGCCATCCTAAGGCTACCTGCCATTTCCAGCAATGACCGCCCTCCTCCTCCTCTGCAGCGGCCCTGCAGGCCACTCGAGCTTTAATGGTGGTGTCTCTGGTTTTGGGCTTCCTGGCCATGTTTGTCGCCACGATGGGCATGAAGTGCACACGCTGTGGGGGAGATGACAAAGCGAAGAAGGCCCGCATAGCTATGACTGGAGGCATTGTTTTCATCGTGGCAGGTGAGCCACTAGGGTCCAAGGTGGGACCAAGGGCTCACTCTTCCATCCAGAAGAGCAGCATAGCCAAGATCTTGGTCTGGACACCCAATACCAGAACCCTTTTTCTCTTTCTAGGTCTTGCTGCCTTGGTAGCATGCTCCTGGATTGGTCATCAGATTGTCACAGACTTTTATAACCCCTTGACACCCATGAATGTTAAGTAAGTCTCCAGTCTAAAGAAACAGATTATGTGGACTTGGGACATGGAGGACATTAGGCCCGCGTTTTGACTCCAATCCTTTCTTTCCACAGGTACGAGTTTGGTCCTGCCATCTTTATCGGCTGGGCAGGGTCTGCTCTGGTCCTTCTGGGAGGTGCCCTGCTCTCTTGCTCCTGTCCTGGCAGTGAAAGCAAAGCTGCATACCGTGCACCCCGCTCCTACCCCAAGTCCAATTCCTCCAAGGAATACGTGTGAGGTGGGGAGCCCAGCCTGTGGGCAAAATGCGAGGCAAAGGCCTCCTGGTCACTTCACCCCCAAACATTATGTATAGTTCCCTTGTGGGGAGGGCAGTTGGGGGGCGGTCTGGGAGAAGAAGACAAAACGTAGGGAGGGTGTGCTTTTGTACAGTAATAAAATTAAGTTTTGGAAATTAGGTCTTTCCAGGTCTCTTTTCTCCAGACCCAGATCCTTGCAGAGGATTTGGAACTGAAGCACACCTACAGCAGTGTATAGTACCAGTGGTGCCTCCAGGGCCTTCAGTCCCTACTTCCTTAGGCCTACTGCTTCAGCTCTCATCTTAGGTTCTTACCCACTCTCCCCCAAACTTTTCTTCCATTGATTATGATTCTGATTGCCCTAACGGTATACGGGTGGGTATGTGTATGGCAGAGGATAGCTTTGTGCAGTGGATTCAGGAACTGAACTCAGGTCACTGGAAACGTGGCAAGTACCTTTTCCTTTTGCTATCTTATCATCCCCAACATCTACTTGTTTAAACAGTTACCAGAGGCTTTGATTAATATACACACACACACACATATTTTATTAGAAATGGGCATGGGAAGAGGGTATTTCTTATTCTCTGGGCATATACTACGCCCTCACCACACTTTTTGCCTCAGCTTGATGCTGCTCCTTGGCTCACATGACACAGCCTCTACAGACAAAGCAACAAAGGCAGGCTAGGGACAAGGTAGAGTCTGCTAACAGCAGGATGGTTCGGAGCCCACAGCCTTCCTCTCCCATTTGTCTGTCAAATATCTAGGTCATCATCTGGATCTTCTTGGTCCACATCATCAAAAGCATCTAGCTCATAGAAGATGCGGCCGGAGGTCTGTCCTGGGCCTGGATGCAGCAGAGCTTGCTGTCTGAGGAAGGAAGAAATGACGAGGGCGGGTGTTCAGTCAAATCGGATAGCCTTCTGGGTGATGAGGACATTAGCATAGGTAACTGACCCTAGGTCTTTTTTCCTTTCCCTAAAGTTCTGAGAGTGATCAGTACTGAAGTATCACTAGGTCCTAGAACAGAGCCTATCCTGTACTGCTCTAACAAACCCAGGTCCTTAGCTAGAAGGCAATGATTCTTTAGTCTTGCTTCACACCCACTCACACACCAGGTACAGAGAAGCAGCACCTCCCGAGCTCCTGTGAACAAGCCCTTGAGACACTCATATATATTGTGTTTTTGTCACTGCTGCCTGGAAAAAAGGGTCACCTCCCCATCTGGTCTGGCTCTACTGGCCCATGGCTACTCAGAGCTCATGACTCTACTAGGGAGGAATACAGAAAGGTCCTCTATAATTGAGGGAATTCGGTATAGGTGGGTATGGAACCACTCCCTAGACTTGTCTCTGGAGGTGGACTTCAGCCCCTATAAAATCTTCAGGTTAATCAATAACCTGTCATCACCCCACCTTTCTGTGACACAGATGCTGAGATCCAAGCCCAACCTTACTTTTCAGAGCTGAACTGGAAAGGCAGAGTGAGGCTGTCTCTGGCTTCTCTTTCTTTCTTGGATAAGTGAAGGTTAAAGGTCAAATGAGCCGTGGGATCCACCTGTAGACACAAGTGCTGTGACTGCTCAGTTCGACTTTTCAAGTCCCAGATCCCCAACACCTCTCCTTTTTTTTCCCCTCTTGTTTTTTTGAGACAGGGTTTCTCTGTGTAGGCCTGGCTGTCCTGGAACTCACTTTGTAGACCAGGCTGGCCTTGAATTTGAGAGATCCACCTGCCTCTGCCTCCCGAGTGCTGGGATTAAAGGTATGTACTACCACTGCCCAGCTAATATCTCTAGTTTTTGTTTTTCCTTTTGCCAGACTCTAAGCTCACACCTTTGTACCCTTGCCATTTTTGATACCTGGGTTGTATGAGGATCTGGGTGTAGCTCAGAATAGCGGGGAAGCCCTTCATGGAGATCCAGACTGAAGTCAGGAAGAATGGAGAACCACCAAGTCTAAGGAAGAAAAAAAAAAGAAAGAAAACCCCCATGCATTGGCTGTAAGGCACCACCCTTAATTGGCTACATTAATGGACCTTTTCTCTTGCGACAGGGTTTCTCTATGTAGCCCTGGCTGTCCTCTCAAGTGATGGCATCAAAGGTGTGCACTAGTGTGTTTGGCTGGCCTTTGGGCTCTTGAGTTGAGCAACCCGGAGTTCAAATCCTGATTCTTACTCTTTATTACTTAGGTGATTTAAATTTTAACATATCTGGACTTGTTCCCCAGTCTGAATAATAAGGATGAAACAATGACTTCAAGCACCACAAGCTAGGTGTGGCATACCTCTTTAACCCCAGCACTTGGGAGGCAAAGACAGACAGATCTCTGCAGTAACAAAGCTAGCTTTAATGTAAAATAAAATCAAGTTCCAGGCTGAAAATGCTATACACTGAGACCCTGCCTCAAACAAAACCAAATCAACACAGAAGTAATTAGATCAACTTTCCATTACTGTTTCCTGAAGTAGGACCTCGTGCTGCCCAGGCTGCCCATCAGCTTACTATGTTGTACCTTTTGTTTGTTTTTTCAAAAAGACAAGAGTTTCTCTGTGTAGCCCTGGCTGTCCTGGAACTCACTCTGTAGACCAGGCTGGCCAAGAACTCAGAAATCCTCCTGCCTCTGCCTCCCAAGTGCTGGGATTAAAGGTGTGCACCACCACCACCCGGCATACTAGGTACCTTTAACTCTCGATTCTCCTGCCTCTACTTCCTAAGAGAACATCAACTTTTATTGCTCGTCCCATCTTGTGGCCTGTCCTGGCCAGTCTGATGTCAATTTGACATGTCATCAGAAAGCAGGAACCTAAATTGAGGAAACACCTCCATGAGTGCCAGCTGTATAGTACTTTATTAATTAGTGATTGATGGAGGGGTGGTGGGGTGTGGGCTGAACAAGCCAGTCAACAGCTCTAGCTCCTCCACGGCCTCTGCATCAGCCTTGCCTCCAGGTTCCTTGCCCTGTTTGTGTTCCCGTCTTGGCGTCCTTCAGTGATGGACTACAAAAGGCAAATAAACCCCTTCCTCCTTAAGCTGCTTTTGGTCATGGTGTTTCAATCACAGCAACAGAAACCCTGACTAAGACACTGGCCTTTCTGATCCTAATCTCCAGCTTCCTCTGTTCTCTCCTGACCTGGTAAGTTGCACGTTGTTGGGGCCTTCGACAGAAAATGGAGGCTGAAGTCTGGTCCATTTTACCACTCAGAGTCACCTCTGTGTGAGCAAGGGTGCTCAATGCTCCCATGGGGCCAGGACCATGAAGCTCTTCATGTAGGAGGCCCAGGACACGTACCTGCTCTATTGGGGAGTTATTACCTGGATAGGGACAAGAAATGCAGAACACGAAAGACATCAGGTAGCATTTTCGTGAAGGCCTTAGAAGCAAACAAGGAAGGGAAGAACTTACCTTGGCCAACCTTACCATCTCACCGCACTGCTCTGCTTCTGCTAGTCCACACCTTAATTATCCAATGCTGATATGATCAGGGGACCACTGACTTTGATGCGAACAATTTATCACATGCTTACGAGCTTTGCAGCCTCATTAATTACCGAGCTGCTGTGTGCTGTGGGTGTCAGCCTCCCCCTCCCTCTTTGGGAGCATTACCTAAGATACACTGCACTGAACGCTTTGGCACACTTTACTTAAGTGCTGGGGTTAAAGGCGTGTGCCACCACTGCCTGGCAACTTTATACATGTTTATGTGTATGTCCCATGGTGTTCATGCTTGTAGAGATCAGAAGCTAACTTTTCTGTCAACTGTTTGTTCTACTATCGTGTGGGATCCAGGTATTGAATAAAGGTCATTTGATTTGGTGGTAAGCATCTTTACCCACTGAGCCAGCTTGTAGGATGGCCCAATTTGGCACATTTTAATTCTTTTGTAATTAAAAAAAAATTTAATTTGAGATAAGGTCTCACTAGATGATCTGGATCTCAACTAGGCTGGTCTTGAATCATAAGAGATCAGCCTGCCTCACCACAGCCAGGTCTAAACAAACAAACAAACAAACAAACAGGTTTATTTTTATTGAGGTGTATGGGTATCCAGAGGCCAGAAGAGGGTGTTGGTATTTGATCCCCTAAAGCTGGAGAAGCAGGTGGTTGTAGGTGTTGGGAACCAGATTCCAGTCTGCTGGAAGAGCACAAGTGCTCTTAACCACTGTGTCATCTCTCTAGCCTTCAACATTTGAATTTTTATATAGGCCAGCATTTTTAGACCAAACTATAAAACAAGGATGGTTTTGAACTCACAATAAAGCTAAAGACGACCTAGAACTGATCTGCTTCGCTAGTACAAGGACTACAAGCCTTCACACCCAGACCCCACCGCCCTGCCCTGCCCCAGTGGAAGAGCTTCCTGTCTCTACCGAGCCCTTCTAGGTGCTTCTTTCTGGGTCACATTTTGTCTGGCTGATCCCAGCTCTTCAAGATAAGTTCCTTTCTTCAGGTATCAGTGCATGGATCAAAACAATCCCTCTACCTTATACCCCTTGTCAGATCATCTTATGACTGTTACCTTTCACTTTTATTTATTTATTTTCTTTGAGACCTGGTCTCAAGTAGCCCAGGCTACTCTTTAAGCTGTTACTTAGTTGAGGGTGATGGCTGGATTATAGGGGTGCATTACCACCTCATCTGGTCTGTGATACTGAGCATGAACCTAGACCTCTGTGAATGTGGAAATTCATTTCCAGCTACTTCTTTATATCTTTTATGACCTTTGATAAGGTCAGTCTTTCCTTTCTATTATTTAAAACTGTATCTGATATTGCGTTGCATTCATATTTGTTAAAGGAGTGAATGGGGGGCTGGAAACATTGCTCAAGCTTCTTGAGCACACCTGTCTGGCACACAGGAATCCCCGGCCACCAGCCTCAGCACCTTGTGCACTGTGCATGGCAGTACAGGCCTGTACTCAGTGTCAGGAGACAAAAGCAGGGGATCAGAAGCTCTGGGTGGACCCATCCTCTCTGCCCAGCCAGATTCTATACATCCTTCATCATGATCTAGCTCGACTGAGACCATTACACAAACCATAACTGACCAAAATGCAGAGAACAAGAGACTGTGGTGCCAACCCCAGTTGACACAGCGACCGCCCAACTTCTGCAGCCACAGCTGAAGGGTCAGAATGACTGTAAGAACCAGAGGAAAAGGAAGGTCACTCTGATTCATCTCTTAGAAACATCAGAGCAGCTACAGCCATTAAGTTGCACCAAGATGGCTTTGCAAACAAGACTTGAGCAAGGGAGGCCCAAACAGACAAACTAACATGAAAGGGGGAAATTCGCATAGGGCCTGAACTCTAGACAAAGAACTACAAGCAACTAAGGAATATTTGGAGTAAGAAAAATAATCTTAGCAAGGAAAAAGCCCCCCAATTTGATATAGAATACAAAGGGGGTCAGCCTTGAAATCATACATATATAAGCGACATTACACAAACTGAGCAAGCTGTGCTGGTAGATTCAGGAAGGAATTTGAGGGAGGGTGTACACGGGAGGGGCTGGCGGGAGAGTAGGGAAGAAGAGAATGATCTAATTTTTTTTTTTTTTTTTTCCCCGAGACAGGGTTTCTCTGTGTAGCCTTGGCTGTCCTGGAACTCACTCTGTAGACCAGGCCACCTGCCTCTGCCTCCCAAGTACTGGGATTAAAGGTGTGTGCCACTACCGCCCGGCCTAATTATTATTTTAATTAAAAAAATACTAAAATGATAGAAAAAACCTGTCTAGTATAGTGGAGACAATGTATAAATGGGGCACATAATATATAAAGGTGTAATTTGTGACAACATAAAGTTTTCAAAAAAAAAAAAAAAAAAAAAAGGTGTTTTAAGGTCATATACCCTTGGCTATCTACACAGTTAAGGCCCGCTTTGATGTTATGATCATAAGGGCTCTATGAGACCTTGTGTTAAAGACGTGGAGAACTAAAGACAGAATAATACACAGAACAATCGGCACATAAGAAGAAGTTAACAAACAACAAAAAAGAGGGACTAGAGAAATAGCTCAGTGGTTAACAGCACTGGTTACTTGTCTAGAGGATTCCCAACACCTACATGGTGGCTCACAACCATCTGCAATTTAAGTTACATGGGATCCAATGCCCCCTTTTTGGTCTCTCCAGGCACCAGGCAAGGGCATGGTACACGAACATACATCCAGGCAAAAATCACAGAAAAACTGTAAACCACATGAAATCCTCACACCTCTCTTATTCTGGGTGTGGTGCTGGAGTTCTATCACTGGAGGCAGACGCTCTAGATTCCAGGCAACCCTGGAAAACAGACCCTGTGTAAAAAACCAAGAACAATAAAACAAACAAAACACCCCACCGGGGCTGGGAAGATGGCCGAGCACTAAGGGTTCTTGTTTCCCAGCATGCATATAGCAGGCCCAGTATCCAGGGATGTACTGTAACCTCAGCTCCAAGGGGGATAGCTGAGAAGCTAGGGCTGGCTGTCTTCCAGCCTAGCTGAGAACATTCGAGTCCCAGGTTCAGGAATAGACTCTGCATCAAAAGCATAGGATAAGAATGACAGAGAAGGCACCCACTTCTCTCTTCTGACCTCCCTTCGCAGAGGTATGTGAACCTGTGCACACACATTTCATACATCATATATGGGTATGCATACTCACAAACACAGATTTTGTTTTGTTTGTTTGTTTTGTTTTTTGATAGGGTTTCTTTGGATAGCCCCTGGCTGTCCTGGAACTAGCTCTGTAGACTAGGTTGGTCTTGAACTCACAGAGCCATCCAACTGTCTCTGCCTCCCGAGTGCTAGGGTTAAAAGTATGTCCATCCATGCCCAGCTAGATAAGTCATAAAACAACAAATCTCCAACTCCAAGACTCCACCCCCAATTCTCCCCAAAAAGAGATGGCAAAATGTCAGACTGGAAAACCCTGATGCTTCTTGTTGGAGTGGAAAGGAAAGGGGTGACATTCTTTGGCAGGAGGAGCTATACCAGGGTAAAGAACAAAGGGGAAACCGTACCTGGGTCTACACTTCGCTGGCTCAGAGGATGTAGGGCTTGACAGAGTGTAACACAGGGAATGTGCCACAGCAGCCAGCTGAGAGAGTCAAGGGCAATGGTGACTGAGCCACCATCTGTCCTTTTGCACATGGATATCAAGGCTTTTAGAGGTCCTTCAGGGACAGCTTCCCCAGGTTTTGACCAGTTAAGAGGGTCTCTGAAGAGGTCATAGTAAACCAGGCTACAAAGAGAAAACAGAAGACATATTACAACCTTGAACTTCTTCCTCATTTTTGGACTCTTTCTCAATTTTCACCAACCCCTTAAATATTAATGAAAGCTAATTATAGGATTTAGTAGCTGACAGCATAGACTTTGGTGTCTCATAATCCAAGTCCCAAGCTTGGCCTTAGACCTTATACAGGATTACCTAACTGGGAATTCTACCTTTTAAAGTTCTTTTGACATCTGTTCTAAACTTCCTTTCTGGCTGATAGAGAGTTGGCTTAGTAATCAAGAGTGGACACTGTTCTTGGGGAGGACTGGAATTAATTTCCTAGTAGGCTCAGAACTGCCTATTATTCTACTTTTAGGGGATCTGATGCCCTTTTCTTAGTTCCACGGGTACCTACACTCATGTGCATGTATCCATATACATACACATTATAAAAAAATAAATCTTGCTAGGTTGTGGTGGAACTTGGGAGGCAGAGGCAGGAGGACCTCTAAGTTCAAGGCCAGCCTGATCTACAGACCAAGTTCCATCCAGGGTTACATACACAGAGAAACCCTGTCTTGAAATACAACAAAAAAGAAATCCCCAAACCAATTCAAACAAAATTTTGCTCAACTAGGCATGGTGGTGGAAGCATGTAATCCAAGCAGTCAGGAGGCAGAGACAGACATATCTCTGTGAGCTCAAGATCTGTCTGGTATATAGTAAGTTCCAGGCCAGCCAGAGATACTGGAACCCTGTCTTAAAACCAAAACCCAAGCAAGAACAACAACAAAAGCCCTTTCCTGTAGAGATTCTCCCATGCACAAGGCCTCTGTCATTTCTTACCATTGTTGTCTAAGATTCACTAGGGCAGGAAAGAAGTTTGCCTCATCCACTGTTCTATCCCCAGGGTCCTAGCACAGCTCCTAGTTTTTGATCCTCAGTATAGATGCACCTAGTGAGTGAACATGGGTATTACAGTAACCTTCCTAACTAGTCTCCACATCCAGGCTGCCTTGTTCTGTTACATTCTCCACGAGGTAATCAATGGACTAGTGTTTCTAAAAGGGATGGTGTGACTCTCCCCCAACTGCCCTTGGCCTAACATGTAAACGTCTATTGTGCTCTTTAAGCCCTATCTACAGTCAGGTACCTCTTTATCTCTCTGACCTCTCATTCCTTGCTTTGTTACTTCCTTTGCCTTTAGGACAAGTCCATCAGTATCCGGCAGTGAGTGCTAACGCAAGCCTGGACTCTAGGACTAAATTAAGCACCATTCAGAATAACTCAAAGGGCAGTCTGTTTATTCTACCAGCTCATAGGTCAGCAGATACACTGCCTATCTTTTTACTTCTAGGGTCTTTTGTTTTCGATTGCCCAAGTTATCACCATTCCTCACTGCCTCAGTTCCCAGCTGCCTAAACCTCCAGCTTCAGGAATCCGATGTTCCTCCAATGACTATTAGTAGTAGTTTTAGGGAATATGGTCAAAATTGTTACATGATCAAGGATGACCTTGAATGTCTGACCTGCCTGTCTAAACTTCCTAAGTGCTAGAATCACAGAGCCCAGGTTTATGCAGTGCTAGAGATCAGACTCAGGATTCTGAGCAGGCTAAGGGGGCACTCCATTACCAACTGAGCCGTGCCACTAGTCCCTTAAAGAAGTTCATGATTTTTTTTTTTTTAAAAAGATTTGTGTTATGTATATACACTGTAGCTGTCTTCAGACACACCAGAAGAGGGCATCAGATCCCATTACATATGATTGTGAGCCAGTATGTGGTTGCTGAGAATTGAACTCAGGACCTCTGGAAGAGCAGTCAGTGCTCTTAACCACAGAGCCATCTCTCCAGCCCCCAAAGTTTATGATTTTTAACAAGGATTTTTATCTCATTCATATATATATCTCTGTGTGTATGATTATATAGGAGTACAGGTGGCCAAGAAAGCCAGAAGAGGACATTAGACACTCTTGAGCTGGGAATACAGGTGCTCTGTGTAGGGACTGGCAACCAAACTGAGGTCCTCTGCAAGGAAAGTAGGACTCTTAACTGCTGAGCTAACTCTCTAGCCCTGTGATTCACTTGTAGTAGTATTTTTCTTTTCTTTCCAAAAAAAGTTTTTATTTAATGTGCATTGGTGGTTTTGAATGCATTCACATCTGTGTGAGGGTGTCAGATCTCCTGGATCTAGAGTTACAGATAGTCAGAGGCCATGTGAGTGCTTCGAATTGAACCCAGGTCGTTTGGAAGAGCTGACAGTGTTCTTAATCTCTGAGCCATCTCTCCATCCCCTATTATTTTATTTTCTGAGCTAGGATCTCACTAGGTTGCCTTAGCTGGCTTGGAACTATGTAGACCAGGCTAGCCTTGGATTCCTAAGAGACCTGTCTGCCTCTGCCTCTCAAGTGCTGGTATAAAGGCATGTGCTACCGCGACCATCTGGATAGTGGGGATCTACCCCAGGGCCTGCTACATGTGGTGGCACATGTCTTTAATCCCAGCACTCAGGAAACAAGCAGATAGATCTCTGTGAGTTTGAGTCTAGCCTGGTCTACAAAAGGAGTTCCAGTACATTGAGGAATATACAGAAAAACCCTGTCTTGAAAAACAAAACCAAAAAGCAAACAAAACCAAACCCAAAGCAGAACAAGCCAACCACTGCTCAGTTAGAGACCTAAAGATCGTTTCTGCTAGACACACTAACTCTTCCCTTGGTTCTCTATGTAATGACAATGAGATGAGAGCTTTGCATACTGTCTTCACACTGTACCATTCTCTTTACTTCAATTCTCCAAGCAGACCCCACTCACATCACCACTTTAGACATGTTAGTCATTCTTAAAAAATATTTATTTTGGGACTGGAGAGATGGCTCAGTGGTTAAGAGCACTGGCTGTTCTTCCAGAGGTCCTGAGTTCAATTCCCAACAACCACATGGTGACTCACTACCATCCGTACTGGGTTCTAATGCCCTCTTCTGGCACACAGGTTTTAATGCAGATAAGGCACTCATATTCATTAAATAAATCTTAAAATACGTATATATATAGTTATGTGAGTACACTGTAGCTGTCTTCAGACACACCAGAAGAGGGCATCAGATTCCATTACAGATGGCTGTGAGCCAGCATGTGGTTGCTGGGACTTGAACTCAGGACCTCTGGAAAAGTACGCTTCTGATTTCTGCAAGCATCAAGGCATGGCCATGGCCCACAAATATAGGCAAAACATTCATACACATAAGATAAAAAACCAAAATAAAAAAACAAGAATACCTTTTAATTTTTTCTTTTTAGCATACAATTGTGGAAACACCTCAAGAAAACAATCATTTAAATAACTGTGATTATTTGTGCCTTTTAAAGAATAAGATTTGTTTTATATTTATTATTTATTTAGAGACAGGGTCTCACTATGCAGTCTTGACTAGTGTGGAACTTTTCTATGTAGACCAGGCCAACTTCAGATAGAAGGAATCTGCCTGTATCTGCCTTGAGTGCAGGGATTAAAAGTGTGTACTACTACAGTGACCTTACGCCATCTCTCTCTCTCTCTTTTTTTTTATTGAAGAAATCTTATAAACTGGACATGGTGGCATGTAACATACTCACAGCACAGGGGAGGAAGAGGCAGGACGGCTGAGAGTTAGAGGTTACTGTGGGCTGCACAGTGAGTTCTAATGCAACCCACGCCACATAATGAGATTAATTTCTTGTTAAAAAATAACTGAATATCTTTTTCTGAGGAAGAAAAAAAATGGGAAAAAAAGTTCTGTCCAGAGGTTAATTTGGCCTATTACCCTTTGGAGTTAGTATGTTCCTTTATCCTGCCCTATGTTTTCAATTCAATTCTAGCATCTACAGTCCCTGAGCCTTATTAGGCCTAGAAGAAACCAACTCCAAGGACACTTATAAAAGATGAGGGCATCAATTTTAGAAGAAACTGGAAAGTTTCTTGGTTGACTATTTATTAACCCGGAAACATTAAAGCCAGAATGCTTATGTACATACAACAGCACATCTACGAGTCTACTTCTCTCTCTCGTCGCGTAAGCAACAGCCTCATGTCCCTTTCCATCACTGGTGTGTTCTTTCTCCAGTCTAGTTGGCAAGCTAGGATTAAAGTATCTAAAAGACACTTGCCTAATCTTTAAATTTTTACTGCCCCAAAGGTACGATCCCAGTTTCTCCACAATACGAGATTCTGTGCTGTCTGTTGAAAAGAAGCCCTTAGTAACTGTAGTCCAAATAAAACCCGTTTTAATGTATACTTGCCGGCTGTTGACATCAGAAGCAAAACCTTCGCGAAACTCTTCTTCACTCACTTCACAGCCCAGAACGTAGACTTGCTCCCCACTAAGGCAGAGATGAAGGAAATATGTTAAAGAGAGGGGGTACCCGCTCTTTTCTCGGGAAGGACAGGAGAAGGTGTGGGCTAACTCACCGAAGTGCAGATTTCTTGATAAGCGCCTTCAGGAGACTACGCCCCTCCCACTCCACCGAATCTGTGGAGAGCCAAGTACGGGTGAGACCCACTGAGCCCTCAGGTCTCCGACCATGACTTCTACCCCTAGCCGGGTATCCCCTCAGGGTCCTTCAGGCTCCCGCTCCTGCAGCCAAGCCCAAGGCTACGGCCGCATGCCTTTATTCCTCACCTCGAAGAAGCACCAAACCACCGATGGCCAACAAGGAGTCCAGCATCTCTGACGCCTCAGGACGCCTTCTGATGTCGTCACCACCAAGGAGGCGGGGCATTTACGATTGCTTCTAACCTTAAAGGACCGCAAAGTCCGGAACGAGGAGACTGTTTTATTATTACTATTATTATTTTTTTTATGTTTAGTATTCTTAGGGGGCTTACTCGGAGGGGCCGCTCTAGAACCTCTGCACATAGTCCTAGAGACGACATCCTTAATCTGTTCTTGCACCACGACTGGGGCGAGAATGGCCGTTGGAACAGTTATTAGTGGGATGGGGACAAGGCTAGAGGTCGCACGAGCTCCAATCCCCAAGAAGGTCCGAACCTGGGAATGAATGACGTAACTCAGCCACGCCCACACCGTTCCAGGCTTCTCTCCAGGTCCCGCCCCGCAGTAGCCTTGTGCGCGTGCGTAACGCTGCACCCCCAGCCAGAGCACAGCTTTCCTTAACTCTACCCTCCCTCTTCAGAATGAGTTGAGGGAAACTTCAATCCCGGGGAAGTGAAAACACGTCATTACCGGAAGTAATGTCAGAGGGGAAGAGGAGGAGGGAAGAGAGGAGGAGGGAGCCCTTTGGGCGGTAAAATGGCGCCTGTCAGAGTGGGAAGCCCAGCTGCAGAGGCTGCAGCCCCGCTCCTCAGCGGCTAAGAGATCCTGACCTCGGGGAGGGGGAGGCCACTCCGGCCCAGCGCTCCGCGCCCTTAGGCTCCCCCTCCCCCTCCTTCCCAGGTCCTGCGCCCAGGGGCCCCAAGAGTCGCCGCGGCCCATCGCGCGCCGCCGCCCCCGCCCGCCCCCTTCCCGGGGCAGACCCCTAGCGCGCCTGCGCAGAGGGCCACCCTTCGCTTCCCCCTTCCCCTCCCATCTCCCTCCCTCCCTTTTCCCTAGCCCCCTCCCCCACTGCCCCCTCCCCCAATTCTCCATCCCCTTCCCTCCTGGTCTCAGAGGACCCTGTCCTAGCCCGACCTGTCTCGGCCTGCAGCCCACGCGAAGTCGTCGGTGCCACTTCCCGCTCATGTGGGCCCCCGCGGGCTGCCCACGCCAGTCCCCCAGTTCCCTGTTCCGCTGGGCTTTCCCTTCGCTGGGGGTGGCTTTCTGAGCCACCCACTCCGTGCTCATCTCTGCAGCCTCTCCTGCCGCTCGGGGCCCCCGTTCCCCCTCCCTGCGGCGGGGGGCTGCCCCCGGGGGGCTGGCGGAGCTGGGCCGCGGGGGCCCCGGGGCCGGCGGTGCCGGGGTCATCGGGATGATGCGGACGCAGTGTCTGCTGGGGCTGCGCACGTTCGTGGCCTTCGCCGCCAAGCTCTGGAGCTTCTTTATTTACCTTTTGCGGAGGCAGATCCGCACGGTGAGTTTGCGTGGGTGCTGGCAGTGGTGGGTTCCTCTGTCCTCGGTACTCACGGAATTTTGGATAGTGTTGGGCCTCTGTTTTGGGCCTAGGAAGGGAGCCTTGGCCAGAGCTTTACTCGCTGGAGAAGTAGGACACCTTTAAGCAGGGTTTAGACCTTAATAAAAGAACCACGATTTTTAGTTGGTTTAGTTTCCTTTTTAATCTGCCTAAATGGGATAGCATTTGGCAGTTCTTGGGGACTAGAATGCTGCTCTCTTTAAGAAGGCTAGAGTTATTGCTAAAGAAAGAAGAGGCGGGGAACACCTGTTTGCTGGTAGCCAGAACTGTTATAAGGCTTTGGAAAGACCCTCCTGTTGGAAGTCGGACTCCTTTGTCAATAGTGTGGGTGGGCAGGAGGGCATATGTAGCAGGGATGGGAATTTGGGGGAAAGCCTTGAGTGTGAAGGAACGCCTCCAAAAGAGCTCTGGAAGTCTCTAGCGTGTGTATATGGACTTGTTAAGACAGAAAAAAGATGCTTTTCCAATAGGCATTTTTATTTGTAAGAGGCAGCACATTAAAGTTGGCTGTCTCATAAGAAGACCTGGCTGTTAACTGGAAAGCTTGCATCTGAAGATGGGCATGTTTCTCCAGGAGACTCTAGCAATTATGAAGGGATACCCGGAGTGTGGAGACTGGTTGGTTGAACCCAAGCATCTCTGGGTTCTCTCCCTTAAGCTTTTCTCCAAGGTAAAAATTATTTCAGCTACCGTCACTTCTTAATGAGTATGCCCTCATAACTTCATCATCTCTGGAGTAAATGTCCTGAAGTCGGATTCTGGGGAAAATGAGTGAGCTGCCTGTAAGCTTTGGCAGCCTAGGTCAAGAGAATTCCCAGAAGGAGTTTGATGGTCCTGGTAGAAGACTTGATGGAATGGCTTGGACTTGATTGAGCTCATTCTCTGGCAGTCTGTCTATTTCTTCTACTTCCTGCTTCAAGGTGAGGGTTATTCTGGGTGGTGGTTATAAGCACACCTAGTCTCCTAAGATAAGATAGGATCCATTCAGGGTGTGTGAAACTGACCCTTTGTGCTTCTAACTCCTGTGGTTTTCTTTATGTGTTGACTCCTCATCCTTTCTTTTTGACCTTGCCCTAAGAATCCTCCCTCTTCTTCTTCCTCTCTCTCTCTCTTTCTCTCTCTCTCTCTCTCTTCCACCCAAAGTACAGGGAGTAGTGCTCCTCTGTAGCCCAACTATTGGAAGACTAGTTACTTTCTAAATTGCTCTCTCCTATAAATCACCGACCCCACAGCCTTTTGTCCTCCCTTCCCTTCCAGTCTGGTTTCTTCCCCACGCCTTCTCTGGCAGAAACTTGGAGCATTCCCCACATGCCCAGCATGTGCAACCCGAGATAGCAGCACAGGACACCCGAGCTGTTTCAGCCCTCATCACAGGCTCAGGGAGAAAAGAAGGGCAGATGCCTTGGGATTAAAGAAGAGTGGGCCTTTTGGTTTTCAAGCAGGGAATGTGTCGCTTAGGGCCTAGGAATGGACTGAAGAACATTTGTATGTTAGAAGAAAAGAGCAGAGGGGGGAATTGCCAGGCTTTGAGTAGAAGCTCTGGGAATTAGGAAATAGCTTCTAGAGCAGCCTTGGAGCAACCGAGCTTGATGTGGTGCTGTCCCTGTCCCTGTCCCACCTGTCTGCAGCAGTCCTCACTACACCCTGGTCTTCTCTCTATCCTGTCAGCTTGGCAAGTAGAACTTTTTATGTTTTCTACATTTCCCTGGGTACCAGGGTAAAGAAGCTCTTCAGAGATTCACTACAACTTGTGACTTGGCTAGTAGAAACAGAAGTGGACAGGTGGCTGGTTAAAATAGTCCTAATGGCCCCTAGCCAGAAGAACTTAGCTGACCTGACACCCCCTGGATTCCCTCAGCTACTGTTCCTCTCAATGATCCAAAGACTTCCTTTCCTGATTCCTCCTCTCTGCCTACTAAGAGTCTGAGGTTCTTGGTTCACAGTGAGAAATGACAAGGGTCACCAATGAAGAACCCTTGAGGTGAAGAGGGGGCGGTGCTGTGTGTCTCTTTCTTTGTTCAGTGTAGCAGGATAATATCACATTAAAAAGTACTATGCTGCAGCCTTTGAGGCTTTGGAAAATTAGACATAACTGAGAGGAATTCATGTTTTCATGGAGGTTTCATTTTAACTAGGGGGTTAAGTCGAGCTGTGCAGTCAGTCCTAGGCATAGAGGTAGTTAATCCTTGTTGCCTGTTTCATTGTTCTTAAAACAAGGATAATGACAGTATTAGTAGGCTTTTATTTTGTTTTCATGGTGCTGGGAATTGAACCTAGATTGAGCCTAATTGTCTATTAGATAAGTGTTCTACTACTGAACTTTACCTGTATCCCTGTTAGGATTACATCTGAGGTTCTAATCATATATACAGTGCCTGGCGTATGGTAAATGTTCAGTATTTGCTGTTACTGAATTAGGAGGATTTTCCTTTTTTAAATTTTCTTTTCGAGATAGAGTTTCTCTGTGTAGCCCTGGCCATCTTGGGACTCACTCTGTAGACCAGGCTGGCCTCGAACTCAGAAATCCGCCTGCCTCTGCCTCCCAAGCGCTGGGATTAAAGGCATGCGTCACTGCTGCCGAGCGAGAATTTTCTTTTAAGAGATTCTAATTCTCATCTCTCATTATCCTTAGGTAATTCAGTATCAAACTGTTCGATATGACATCCTTCCCCTATCGCCTTTGTCCCGGAACCGACTAGGTGAGTATGTCAGATTGGAAGACTACTGGAAGGTGGAGCAGGGCTTTGGGCTGGAGGTCAGTCGGTGTCATTCCTTCTCATTGCGTTTCAGCCCAGGTGAAGAGGAAGATCCTGGTGCTGGATCTGGATGAAACCCTTATTCACTCTCACCACGATGGGGTCCTGAGGCCTACAGTGAGACCTGGAACACCTCCCGATTTCATCCTCAAGGTATGTGGGCATTATGGAATGTTTGTGTCTCTCTCATTTTGTTTAGACAGAAACTTTCTTTCCCAGGCTTAGGGTTAGGGCTTGGCAAGACCTGGCATCAGGGTCAGGCAGAAGGAGAAAAGCAGGTAGTGGGCATGGGGCAGGGCCGGCCTGGTGGTGCTTAGCGTTCCCTCACCTCTTCCCTGTTTCTCTGCAGGTGGTAATAGACAAACATCCTGTCCGTTTTTTTGTACATAAGAGACCCCATGTGGATTTCTTCTTAGAAGTGGTGAGTGTGCATGAGCAAATGGGGGCTCCCTGGTGAAAGGATGGTTGTAGAGTTGTGGGGTGCTTAGGGGATCCAAAGGAGGGGGTGAGAAGTTGGTGTAATAGTTGAGGTTCTCTAGAGGAACAGAGCCAATAGGATATAAATATATCAATATATGTTTCAGGTTATATTAAAATAGTAACAAGTTGTCTCATACTTGAGAACCCGAGAACCTGGTAGGTGTACGCAGTCCTCTAGCTGGGTGGCTCATCAGAGGGAGCATCCCCACAGTGTTTGCCTCGTTTTGGAAAGACTGACAGTGTGGTAGTTGCCCAGTCCAGGAAGCTGACACTGAAAACCTGGAAGGTTCCTGAAGCGCTGCTGGTCCTTAGTTAATGATAGGTGCCTGGAAATGCTGGGTGTGACGTCAGTGAAGGAAGCCATTGCAGCAGCTCCGTGCATCAACACAGGCAAGATCAAGGTCAGATGAGAAAGAGGCAAACAGTCCTCTATCATGCCTTCCTACCCGGGCAGCTGCCAGAGGGTCTGCCAATGCTGGAGGTGGGTCTCCCCACCTCAGTTAAGGCAGTGAGGACAGTTCTTCTGTTAATCTCCCTATTTGGTGGTTCTAACTTGCGGCAAATTGACATTAAAACTAAACATCACAATCCATCCTTTGACACTTGAGAAATTAACACATCACTTTAAAAGCCATAATCTTGGGTAGAAGGGATGGTTCAGTGGTGGGTAGTACTTGTTGCTCATTCAGAGGGCCTGATGCTGTATATAAGCACCCACATCAGGCAGCCCTCGACTGCTTGTAACTCCAGCTCCAAGGCTCTCATGCCCTTGGCCTCCATGGGTACATGCACTCAGATGTGCATACCCACATCCACATAAACATAAAAAAATAAAAAGTCATAATTTTATGCAGGAACATATATAGCTATATACAAATACATAAATCTTAAAAACTATAACTTTATTCCCTAAGTCTCATAGTCACTTAATAACAAAGTAAAGCTTTTAAAGTCCCACAGTCTTCAAAAAATTCAAGCTGGGAGGTGGTTGGTGCTGTATGCCTTAATTCTGGGAGGCAGAACTTGGGAGGCAGATCTCTGAATCTCTGAGTTGAAGGCCAGCCTAGTCCACAGAGTAAATTCCAGGACATCCAGGGCTACACAGAGAAACTCTGTCTTGGAAACAAAACTTTACATATATATATATTTGTTTGGTTGGTTGGTTTTCGAGACAGGGTTTCTCTGTGTAGTCCTGGCTGTCCTGGAACTCACTCTGTAGATCAGGCTGGCCTCAAACTCAGAAATCTGAAACAAAACTTTAAAGCCTCTAAAATATTCAGTCTTCCTGCAAAATCAAGTTACTTTCTTATTCCAAAAGGGAAGAACCAGGGTAGTTACAATCA